GAGAGAGAGAGAGAGAGAGAGAGAGAGAGAGAGAGAGAGAGAGAGAGAGAGAGAGGACCCCCTGTCTCAAAAAGTGGACAGCACCAGAGAAAACATACCCATGGTTGTCCTGCCCTCTACATACACACTATGGTACCCAACCTCACATATGTACACACAGAGAGATAAGTAGATAAGTAAATGTAATTTCATGAAGAGCAGATTAACCTTGTAAGCTTAACATTAATAATTAATTATATTTGGAAATACTGTATTAATCCTACTTGAAAAAGTAATTAAAACAATTTTCCTTAAAAATTTAAAGTATCAGTCAGGTGTTGTGGTGTATGCCTTTAATCCCTGCAGAGGCAGGCAGCTGAGTTCAAGGCCAGCTTGGTCTACAGAGTGAGGTCTGGGGCAGCCAGAGCTATATATAGAGAGAAACCCTGTCATCGCAAATAGATTTTTTTTTTAAATATTACTACTTCAATATTAATAAAAAGGGAAACACTTAGTTTTTTCTGCAAGTACAAAGCTGGGCTCTGAAGCCAGATATCTTGGGTTCAAATCTTGGCTCTTCTGATTTTTGCTGTTGTTTTGAGACAGGGTCTCACTGTGTCACTCTGGCTGTCTTGAAAGTCATTATGTAGACTAGACTCAGATCACCTACCTCTGCCTCCGAAGTGCTAGATTAAAGGTATGTGCTACCACATCCTATCTATGGCTCTTCCAATTAACATTGCTTTTCCAATTAGTTGCCATGTCCATGGACAGTTTATTAATTCCTGCGTGCTTCAGAGTCTTTTAAAATGGCACTCATGCCAATATAACACCTGCCTCAGGAATGGAGAATTAATGTAGAATGCTTCCAAAACATTTCTGCAACATGACTACTAAAAGCACTCAAAAGATGCAACTGATTCGCAGGCATAGGTATGTCAAACTTTCCCTGGAGCACGGAATATGTTATAGCAAAAGATGTGTTAGTTCAGCAACTAAATTGAGTTGGTTTTTTGAGACAGGGTGTCTCTTGGTAGCCCCGGCTGTCGTGGAACTCTATGTAGACCAGGTTGGCCTTGAACTCAAGAGATTGCCCTGCCACTGCCTCCCAAGTGCTACGATTAAAGGCCTGCACCACCACTAAAAGTTCTTAAAGCTGGGCAGTAGTGGCACATACTTTTTCGAGACAGGGTTTCTCCGTGTAGCTTTGGAGCCTGTCCTGGAACTCGCTCTGTAGACCAGGCTGGCCTTGAACTCACAGAGATCCACCTGGCTCTGCCTCCTGAGTGTAGATGTAACAGTCTTATTAAATAAGAAACACAGAGCCAAATGCAGAGTTAAAGGCCCAAGAGGTCAGAGTAGTAGCTAAGAGCTGAGACTTAAAACCGCCTTTCTTACCCTTCGCTGCTGCTGTCGTCCTTCCCCTCAGAAAGAGACCTACTTCCTGTGTATCTGTCTTTTTATTGACTTTCTGTTCTGCCTTCTCATTGGTTGTAAAACCAATCACATGACCTCCTTTGTCACTACCTGTCTATACAGACCTCCAGGTCTTTTATGGTTGGTATTGAGATTAAAGATGTGTGTCTCGATGCTGGTTGAATCCTTCAATACACAGAGATCTGCTTTTCATGTGACCAGGATTAAAGGTGTGCGCCACCACCGCCTGGCTTCTGTTGTGGCTTGCTATTAGCTCTGACCACCAGGCAACTTTATTTATTAACTTACAAATAAAATCACAATTCAGTACAAATAAAATATCACCATACCTGAGTGGTAGGATTAAAGGCGGCCAACGCCGCCACCACCTGGCTGTGGCACATACTTTTTTTTTAGTCCCAGCACTCCTGGAGACAGAGCCAGGCAGATCTCAGTGCTAGCATGGTCTACAGAGTGAGTTCCAGGACAGCCAAGGCAGTTCCATAGAGAAACTCTGTCTCAACACCAGAGAGGGGAGTTGGGGGCGGTGGGGAATCATAAAGTAGATTCTGATGCTTTTGAGCTAGGCGTGGTGTTTGCATGCATAACTTCCCTTTAGTGCCCCCCCAATCTCCAATTTCAAGGCCAACCTGAGTTCCAGGAGTTCCCATGGAAATCTTAGCCTCTCTGCTCAAATACAGCATAAAGTGGGGTTCCTGAAAAACTTGTAGGACTGCAGTTATATCAAAGTGGTTGAGAGTTGGCTACCATGTACAAGGGCCTGCATTTGATCTTGAGCACCCCAAAAAGCAGAAACAGAAAGCTTGCAAATGTATAACTTGAGAAAAACTTTCACTAATACTCATTTTCATTTTTGGTATGTGACAGGAGGCAGTATACACAGACAGAATAGTTCCATTTGTGCAGAGCATGGGGTGGTGTGTCAGTGGTGAGAAACAGGCATCTGGTGATGACTTAGCTTTGCTGCTTAGTAACTGACCTATGGCAGGTTGCTTCTCTGCCTCCTGTTCCTCATCTATAAAGCATAGGCAATAAAGGGCTGCTAGTTCTCAGAGTTGCTGTAGCTTAAGAGTAAAGACCCCAAAGCCCTTGGTTATTAAACCAGTGTGAGATGTTTTAGTATTATCATCACTGCATACCCCATCTCACCCAGGAACAGTCTCTCTCTTTAGTGATCTGTACTGGACCAGACACAGATGCTGCTAGTACAAGGGATCACATCTTGATGCAGCTGCTTTAAGACTCAACGTTGGGTTAGAAAAGAGTGAGAAAGACGATGACATGATAGCCTTTCAAAGGGTTTGATACTGAGAAAGGCTGGACTGAATTACCTAGTTTCATCTTCCATGTTATTTCTAGACTTTCAACCATTTTATCTGTTCAGGTGCTACATAGTTCTTAAAAGATTAGTGGTTTAGGTAGCCACTAACCCCACCCCCACCCCCCAAAAAAGAACAAAGTCTGTGTATCCAAGTAGCCATCATGGCTGGGAATGTAATTCACTGGTAAAAGTACAAAAGGCACCAGTTGGTGGTGGCACACAACTCTAATCCCAGCACTTCTGGAGGCAGAGTTCCAGAGGCCAGCCTGGTCTACAGAAAAAGTTCCAGGACAGCCAGGGCTACACAGAGAAACCTTGTCTTGGAAAAGAAGTACAAAAGGCTTGGGTTCAACCCCAGCACTGCTTCCCCTCTCCCACCCCCCAAAAAAAAGAAACCCACAAAGGTGGTAGCCACCACCTCAGTAATTTTATACCAATCCCTTTTAAGCCAAAAACTAGAAAGCAGTTAGCTCCAGCAGGATGAATTAGTGTCTTAGTCTGAAGAATTTTAAAGCAAGCCGAGTAATTGTATAAAATTTAAATTTTATGATCATGGCCAGACCTTTTTACACTTAGCACATGGATATATTCATTGTTTTCCCCAATGGAAAAATTTCTGAATCATACTATGTTGCACATAGATAGACTAGAAATAAAAATTCGGGTACTTTTTCAAGTTTCTAAAGACTGCAAATAACAAGCCATTATTTTACTTCCAATATCTGAAGTCATCAACATGATTCTGTAGTACTGTTTCTCAGGCTTTACCTAAAAAGTCATTATTATTCAGATAAAATAGTCCTCTTGTCGCATTTTCTAAGTCTCTGTTCCACCACAACTTCCTGAGATTTGTGAGGAAACTTCAGTCTTGTGATCAGCCTCCATGTAGTGCCCACAGTTTTGTAATCATAAGGGAAAAAACGGTGACTGGCTTTATGTGTCAATCAGTTGCAGCCTGCTGATCTGATTAGAAGCCTTGACAAATGCCTGGTGCCGATTGCAGATAACTGCCAAGCATATGGGGATGATACAATAGCCCACTGTTTTGGGATCAGCTCTTGTACAAGAATAAAGAAACAAAAACATTTGTAGGTATGGTATCAGAAAAATAACTGTCCACAACCAAAAGGGCGGGGAAAGTAACCGAGCTTTCAAGGAGTGTGTCCATGTGGTTCCTTCCCGAGGCTCCTCAGGGTGCTGCTGAATGTGTTCCAAAGCCAGCCTGTTGTAAGTCTCATTGATTTCAAAAACATAGTAAAATGCTGCTGCACTTGCTAGCAAATACAGTCCCACTCCAATCCATCCCATCCGCTGACGGAAGTTCATCATTCTCCATGCTCTGTGCCTTCAATGTAAACACAGAAAAACTATAGTTAGGGTCTAGTAATGTTGCCATGGCAACTATTCAAAGTGCACTTGATTTAAATTTGAGTTCTGAAAAGCACGAGCATATTTAACAGCTGTAAACAACTTACAGGTGGTGGTTTTTATATAACAGTTGTGAGCACGTAAAATATTGGTTTCAGTATATATTGAGTACTGCTATTTGTGTGAACACCACAGAGTGAATGAATCATCACATCTTGTTTGAATAGACACAGTACACCTTCGTTTCAGATAAAGGGGTATCTAGTTTCCACACAGGACATTGCACTTGACAGTTGAAATGCTTTCTGACTTAACACCATTACTTCAGACATTAACACTGGGTGTTCCACTCGTTAAACCAATGTCGAAGCCCCCAAGTTAAGACGGTAACTCAAACACTTACAGTGGTCCCGAAAATCTTCCTGTTCCTCCAGCAAGCGTGCAAGAGTCACTCAGTTCTGAATAGTCAGGTGCCTTTGGCATTTCAGAACAAGCCACCTTAAGAGAAACCCTCTGG